CCCGAGAAAGTTGTTTCACTAGGTAGGCCTTTATTTTTTCAAACTTATGGGAACCTAGGGAAAGAGTTCCATACACAGACAACACTTACAGTGTATTTGCCCTTAAAATGTATTAACAGCCATCAAAAAGTGATAACATATCCTAAAATTTGATATTTAGATCGGAAAATTCCCAAACATTTACTTAGAAAACACTGGTCTTTTTTTCAGACAAGTCTCATAGGTTTGCACAGGGGCATGAAGTGTCCGTAGGAACTCTTTCTGACATGTAGGCCCCTACTCCGGGGGCAGTAGTAGGCCTAGGCCCATAATTTACAATTTGCTAATTCCGGCATACGATTTGTATTTTCCCATTAAACAAACCAGATTGCATGACACAGATAAGCCTTGGATTACTAGTTATATTCAACAGTTAATTCATGAATGTCAGAGTAGTTTTTTGACAAATCCTCCTCATTGGCGTAAGCTGAGAAATTTTATTGAAAGGGAAATCAAAGCTGGCAAGGTATCATATCATGCCAATCGTATCATGAAGTTGCAGCATTCTAACCCTCATAAGTGGCATCAATTTGCTAAGAAGGTTGGTGATTCTAAAAGAACTAACTTGACATGGACATTCCAGGAATTGACAGGGAAGATTTCATTAGCATGGCAAATGCGATCAATACCAGGTTAGCCAGTGTTTCTGATTGTTTGGATCCGTCCGAGTATTCTAAGTTGCCTGCATTCTTGCCTTCTGCAAAGTTATCGCCATGGAATGTCTATGCCGTGCTCAGAAAATTAACATCTGGCAAATCTTGTGGGCGGACCAAATCCCCTTGTGGGCGGACCAAATCCCCCTACGGTTGATCAAAGAATTTGCTTACGAGTCAAGTGTCCCTTTGACAGATATTTTAGCTCTTTCTGTGAGGGTATTGTGCCAGTGCAATGAAAAGAAGCTACAATGGTTCCCATCCCTAGACAATATCCTCCCAGCATTGATAAACTTCGCCCGGTTTCTCTGACTTAGTGTTTTGCCAAGGTTGCTGAAGGTTTTGTCACTTAGTGGATTTTGGATGATATCGGCAGTAAGATTGATAAACGTCAATTTGGTAATATATAGGGTATTTCTACACGTCATTACCTGGTTAATCTGATGCATTATCTTTTTCAGCGTGCTGAGGAGAATGGTAACCAGTGTACAGTGGTTCTTACTGATTTTGCCAAGGCGTTTGATCTTGCCGACCACATCATTCTTATTAATAAAATAATTGATATGGGTGTTGGTAGTGCTATTGTTCCCTGGGTTTGCAACTTTCTTTAGGGCAGACGCCAAAGAGTGCGGTACAATAATGTTCTTTCAGAGTATTTGTCACTCAATGGCGGTGTCCCCCAGGATGCTAAGTTTGGTCCACTTGGTTTTCAAATTCTTATCAATGATGCTGCCCAGGGTTCCTACTCGGAATATTGGAAATATGTTGATGATTTAACTTAAGCTGAGAACTCCAATCCCAGAAAGCCTAACCATATTCAACACGATCTGGATTCCCTGAATGAATGGGCAATTGAAAATAACCTGAAATTAAATCCCAACAAATGCCAGGCCCTTAGCGTGTGTTTTAAAAGAAACCCACAAGTTCAAAATCTCCAAATTAGTGGTGAAGCACTGCCATTTGTTTCTGTAGCTAAAATCCTAGGTCTTTGGGTTCAAAATTACCTTAAGTGGAGCACTCGTGTTGATTACCTGCTCATGAAAACTAGTAGTAAGTTGCTCATGTTAAGATCATTAAAGCAGTTTGGTTTTAGCATTGAGAAATTACGAGCAACTTATTATGGTTACGTCGGACCGATATTAGAATATGCAGATGTCATATGGCACTCTGGAATTACTGCTCATCAATGTCATCGTATCGAAAGTGTTTAGAAAAGAGCTTGTAAAATTATTTTAGGTACAAACTATCAACCATATGAATTGGCTCTTCAAGTACTAAACACTGACTTGTTATGCACCCGCAGAGAAAGACACTGTCTCCAATTTGCCACAAATCTTCAGAATAATGAGCGCTGTAATTTTTTATTCCCCCCATCCAGGTTAGCCAGTCATGGAAGGAATCTTCGAAACTCACGCAATATTTCTGAGATTCCAGTTAAAACTCATCGCTTTCAAAACAGCCCAATCTAAGTGTATTTTTACTTGATGCTGGCTTTAATATCTACATGTTCCCATTGATAGTTCTTGAAGTTTATGCGTTGTGTTTTTGAATTTTTAAAATCTAATTTCTGTAATCTTGTTCCTGTGGTTTATTTGTGACTTTATATTACAGATGTATTTTTACGGTATAGCTGTATGTCTATCATGATTTGTACTTTTTCATATTGTAATCTTTATATCTTGTATTCTTATCCACTCTTACTATTTTTAATATATTGCAATTCATGCACAATTTGGCAGAATGGTCACGACACATAAATAAACAATATGCATAATAATAATTAACAATTTAAAGTCAAGAATATCGTGGTGGTCGGATATGGATGTACTCTTGCAACAGCAATTTTGTGGAATGCTGCACAAGTGGCGGAAAACTTTTTTAAAAGGCCTGTAAACAAATCAAAAGGGTCTATCATTGATTTATGCACCTACCTCATTACTTGCAATGTGGGTCTTCTCTGTCGGACTTTCAGCCATGATGTACATGTACGTCAGTCCTTCCGAACGGTGCAGACGTCTACGATAAGAACAACACTCTGTCCGACTGCACCTCAAATGCTTTACTTTTGTTCTTCTAACATAAAGGCCTAGACCTATCCTGCAAACAGAAACAACTTGCTAGGCTTAGCTGACACTGACAAGACCGGCGATGGGACGCACACGACCGTTTCAATCGGGTGTTTGACCCGCAACAGCGGAAAAAACTCCGTGCATTCAAGCGAGATAGATTAGGACCGAGCGCGACTCAACATATCATCACACGGTACAAGGCGCTCATAGCCGCCGCTGTTACCTGAACTACAATGTACACGCGTACGTACACGTACACGTAGCTCCTCGCAGCTGACATCCCCAACGAGGTACGATCAGTGTTTTTTTTTTCACTGGAATTGAATCCACTTTCAGAGTCAACCCTCGGATGTATTATCAGACATGGTGCTGGGCAAATTTCGATGAAATTCAGCTAAGCAGTTTAGTCCTGGGGTGGCCCTCTTACGTCGAAGCAGGTGGCGCTCGCATAGCACTTGTCAATGCACCGGATTTTCCACTGACGATGCGACGGCCGCGCGCTTTACCACACCGTACCGCGGACGACGGTGACATTATTAATATTCAACAGGTACCCAGTCTGACCTCTTATCTACGACACTTTATCTAACTCTCTATGGGCGCATTCTACCAAATAGTTGTATTTCTGCGCGCGAGTCATTAATATTTTGTGATCCACGGGATTTCTCCAATAAGACAGACCATAATCAGGAGGGATCATAGAACTCTTTCTATAAATTTCGAATTTGGGACTGATAGTTTCCACTTTGGGGTATTTCTTTCACAAAAAGCCCCAAATTGCGGGCTTATTTTGGATAGAGGCGGGCGGCTACATTCAGAAATGAGCGCTTAGTTTTACTGCTATTTGAGGGGTTTCTACCTTGAATGGCGAATACAAAAAATTGTCATGGCTAACCCCAATGAAACTGAAACGAAAAGTGATCTTCAGGCCAAAATCTTGAATTTCCGGGGAAAAAAACAGAGGCCAACCTCTTCACGAGAGTCAACAGGCGGCGCTATTTCGGTCCGATTTTGCACTGTTTTCTATGGGAGCGTAGTTGAGTGTACCGTTACGGCATAACCAGACGATTTATGGATTATTTTGAAGCGCGACCACCAACAGAGGGCTCACAGCTGGATGGCGCGTAAGAGATCGACCGCGAGTGCATGAAGTTCAAGTGGGACGGGAAGAAGTTGGGACGAAGTCTTATAACTTAGGCCCCCCTATATGTTTTTTATCGAAGTTGTAAATCCAGTGAAAGTGAGTAGAAATATAGCAATTTGTTTGATCATATTTATTGTCTTGTGCGCGGATCCCAGGGCTAGACCCAGAAGTGCCTTTCCATATGCACGTCAACATTTTTGAGCCACGCGTTACGTATCCGTCAAAATCGCCCCGGCATGCCCGGGAGCGAATTTGACGGCCAAGCGCACACGTGTGTTATGGGGTCGATTTTTGTGTCCGTGAAAGTGAAACGCACAAGCCTTATCGCGAATACTACATGGGTGATTCTGTACAATGGTAGAAAGGCATTGTGGCCTGTGGGAAGGAAAAGGGAGCAAACATTGAACCTTTTGCCTTCCCACAATGCCTTTATACCATTATACAAAATCGCTCATGCAGCATTTGCAATAAGGCTAAGTTATGAACAAATCGCTTATGCAACGAACCCAAAAGCATACATATGGAAAGGCGCCTTAATGCAGTCCCATTTTCTACGCCCTAGGTTTTGCAGACACACATGCGTCGTTTATCCGTTTTCTAAAGTTTTGCAAAAGACCCAAGAATGTTGGGTTAGGGGCGAGTGAATATGAATGAAGAGTAGTGCTGGGTCCAGTTTTTGTGTCTCATTTCTCTTCGCCAGAAGAGAGCTACATGCAGATTACGTGTGTTGACACTAGGTTGCCCATGTTCATGAACATTTAAAATAAATACATGTGCAGGTAATGGTGGGATGGGAGTGGCCCAACCTGGTCACCATGGAGAGGGCACAGACATTCTAAACCAAGGGGTGTGGGAGGGGGTTGTTCACTAATCTGTGATAGTGTTTGTACAAAGAACATGGCAGTAAATGTAGGAATGGAATTAGCCCTGGGAAGGTGTTTTCATAGACCATTTAAGGCTTTGTCTTCTTCTAAAATTATTTCTTCATTCTTGTGATTACAGATTTATTTTGGGAGGGGAATTTAGAGTAAGGTGGATTTGGATGGTTAATATGGAATCATGGAGTGCACAGAAGAGGGGACAGACCTCGGGAGGATACGGGGTGCCTTATTTAGTGTTTGGCTTGTAAAGACTGTCGAAACTGACAAGTAAATAAGCAAAGGACACATTTAGAGACTTTACTTGTAATTTATTATGCAAAAATGTTAAATATTGGTAGACCGAGGAACCTCATATTATAAAAGATAAAAAATACCATTCTTTATTAAAATTCATTTATCCGTTACCGATTTAAGAAAGTTATCTAAATGAACTGGAAATATAACGCCTGAAAGATTTGAAGTTCAAAGCTGTTTACATTGCTTTGACAATTCACAGAATATGTGCTGTTACAATGCTTTACAATGCCAAACACCAGGACTCGCCCATTCAATAAATACATCTTGTGTAGCATGTCTTGGCCACTGTAGATTTCAGAGAGTGCCAGTTGCGTAGATTTAGGTAGGATTTTTACACACATCTGTGATCAAACCTACACGTACTAAAAGCTGCCACTCCTGGTCCTTAAAAGAAGTAACTTTTTTGTGTGAATTGCTTTGATGACAGGCTGTGAGTTGTATAAATAAAATAACGTCATTTCAACTGCATTGTAGTTTTCTGGAAATCTTGTTTCAAAGCGTCACAGGTAGGTGCGCAGAAATAGGAGGATCGAGTAGCCCAGGTGGACTCCTTGACCGTATCATGTCGTAATGAAATGAAGACTGGCGTCCAACCTGGGCTAGAGGATCGAGGAGACATGTACATGTAGGCCACTGTCTTATTTAGGCCATGTATGATGTAAAAAAAATAAATTGGTCATTCTTTTTGCCCATAGGTTACCATAGTTTATCGGTGATCCCAAGAGCTGGTTTGGGCTATCCATTAGGTGGGTTCTGGTGTCAGTGAACCAGTGACGGATCACTGATCGGG